ATTTATATAAAATAATTTATGGCTAAGTTATTACAATGTGGAATATGTTATACATGTCGGATAAATATGATATAGTGAATAATGTTGATATGTCTGAGAACTCTGCTATCTTTGCTATCTCTGCTATCTCTACAATCTATGTTGAGTCACATGATTAGAATTAAGAAATTAAGAAATTAAGAAATTAAGGATAATTCCGGATTGTAACAACGATCAGAAATTTATCAACCAATCACATCACAGGTAGGATCAACATAGAAATTCATAGAACATGTCAATAAAAAGCCCGTGATTTCATATTTATCCTAAATTAACTTATATTCTTATTGCTCTATGCTTTCACCATTACTATTTGAATTGAATTTTGATAAATCTTCCAGCAATTGATACGATAAGTTTTTGTATTGACATAATCATCACTATCTCATCCATCTTTCATATTATCTCTTATATTTTCTTTTTTATGATCTTTATTGCATATAGAACAGGTCGTTGAACAGTCAAAGTAATTGTTAGCGAATAAAAAAATTACTAATACAAGTTCACATTGTTCACACTGATCACTTTTGACAAGAAAAAAATAATTACAATTGATATATTTACAGTATATGCAAATCACATGGAAGTGGTGTCATGTGTTTTAAACTCGCAATAGTCTCATGAACATGCAAATCATCGATAAGTTACATATTTACAATAATCAACCAATCAAAATTGATAGGGAACAGTGTTCCATTACTTCACAATAATGCATTGTTCTATATCAGGATAATTGTTACATGATCTATTTCAGTATGAAATCTATTTCAGGATGTGTGATTTATTTTGGGTATATGTGATCTATTTCAGGTGTATGATTGAATTTTTCAGTATGACTATATAATTCATCACTTGATCATATATTTGATAAATAATGAAAAAATAACATCTTTATTAAGATAAATATAAAATATATATAACGAAGTCTAGTTATCATATCATAGAGTGAAAACTATAGTACTATCTTCTCTCTGTCTTTCTGATGTAATTACTGATGCGTGATATAACAAAGATAAGTTAGTAATTATTATATTTCATAAAATTAATAAAGTTTCTATAAATTTAGATACAACTCTTTCATCTGATAATTGTACAGGAATTTCAGCAGATTAAAGATAATAATATCTGGGTATATTGACTTTATCCCGAACAAGAACGTTCAAGTGTAATATATTTTCCACTACTTGTATTCCTACAATATCAAACTGTTCTTTAGCAGGATTGAGACTCTGACATATCCAACAAAGACCATCATTTGCCTTCCGCCACAATTTTATCTCATCATCCATCTTTTTTTGTGGAGTACAAAATAAGCAGGAACATTCGATATACATAAGTTCAAAGATTATTTCAAGATAATTTCCCAGAAACATAATATCTGAACATCTTCCCTTATTTTCTCCTTTTCTATTCGTACTGGCAATGCTTTGCTTTTCTGATGTACTAACAAAAAATGAGTTTTTAGTAGGAAGATTTTTTAAAACAGCCTGAATTATAGTTACAATGACAGTTGATTGGTATGTTCCTTCATTTACTGATCTTGCGAAATCAGAATTGAATGCTGGATTATTCCAAATATTTTTCAAAATGTTTAAAATTTCTTTAACGACACATGCAATATCTCTATCAGATTCCTTTCAAGTTTTATCATGTGTTCATTTCGGCTTTGATCTTTTGTCACGTCTTTTAAAATCTTCTATGAATTTCTTATATATCTCTTGAACTATTGGCCTGGAATTTGGTACCATATTACGAGCGATTTTCTAATACAAAATATACATATATATTATTAGTGATAAAGATACGTATTAGTATACTTATATTAAATTCTTACCATAAATTCCTTTTTTAAGTTTCCTGGGAGATTTTTCACAAGATCTGAATTGTTGCTAATAACCTGGCTTGCCAGAGGATCTTCCCAGGATAATTCTTCTACACGTATCTTATTCACGTCAGAGTATAAATGTTGATAGAGGGAACTTGTATCTCTGTTAAGTTTTTCTTTCAGCTTTTCTATATTATCCCTAATCTGATCTCGATTAAGAGATTTCTCCTTATTTGTTTTAACAACTCCAAGATCCCGTAAACTACAGACCCCCTCAAAAACAATCTCAAACTAAAATAAAAATATAATGTATTAGTTTCAGTTATATCAAAAAATACATTATATATCAGTGCATATGCAAAGTTTCCATTTTCGTGTGGCCACCACGTTGAATAGAACTTTGTGTGGTATTAAAAAATAACAACATTTTAGAAACCCGCCCTAAATAGCATAATACTCTGCAGGCGGTAAATTTTTCTCGTCAATAGGTTTCTAGGATGAACTACACTACTGCATAACAGTCTATAGCTTAAACATCCCTCCATTGAGAGTAAGTGTTTACCGTGAGCAATTAACGAATAATTACGCTAGTTTCAGCACTCATTCTTAGGAGTGAACCACACAATATCATCATTTTTATAAATTTTCACCACATAGAATTATCTTTATCAATAACGAACCTGTGGGAGTATCCGGAGAAGTTTTAACTGGCGTGAAGAACCTTCCATATATAAATTACTGGCAAACCCTACAGCTTGGTCTACGATCATAATTCATTTTTTGAAATCCAAGGCTCGTCTTCTATCCCTTGGTAAATAACTGAAGTAGCTGTTATGTGGTTTTCTTCCGCATTTATCAAGAAATTGTAAATTTTAGTTTGTAAATCGGTGGACATAGTGATTAGTCGAGTTCGAAGTAATAAAAGCTTTGTTAAAAAGAAGCGACCTTCGATTTTCTTCTGTGATAACATGTGATGTGTTGATCGAGCATCTGTGTTACGCATTAACTCTGGCAAAGTGACGCGTTGATTTTTGCCCTTAAAATGACGCGTCCTTAAAAAAATTCACTTCACTTTTTATAAACCATGTCTTATACTTGGAGTGCCTATTTCGAAGAAACACGTCCCGAAGATTATCGTTTTCTGGACTTCTACGAGTACCGATCACAACAATCCGACTTCACCTTTTCTTTTCGTAAAGAATCTGACAAACTGAAAAAGGATCTCAGTATTCTAATAACAAACGGTCCAGACAAAATGAAGGAGGGTGTTAGTCTACTTAACAAAAGTTTTAAGGCAAAGTTTTTTTCTATCATCGTTTCTGCATGGCTGGCTGGCAGAGGGAGGCTTCCACAGCTATGGTGGGCACCTGCTTGCTGTCCACCTTACGGTCTGATTGCCCGCTGTGGAAAAAGGAAAACCCTCACAACTACGGTGGACACCTGCTTGCTGTCCACCTTATGGTCTGCTTGCCCGTTGTGCTTGCCTCTAGCCATGCTTCTAGTTGTGCTTATTTATACGATACTAATTTTATGTGAATCAGGGGCATTGAGAATACTTTAGTGACGTTGATACGTTTTGGAGGGAAATTGAATTACACGAGGAACTGTATGAAATTGAGGTTTTTTATTAACTAGTTTTTCTGATATATCTAATCAAACTTGTGCCCATATTGACTATTTTTTTTCATGATAACAGGAAAAAGCTTCTAGATCAGTAATGCGTGGCACCATAAAAGTTGTCGATACTGCCATCGAAAACGCTTGTTCCACCATTGAGAACGTCAATACTAGACTGGTATGAATATTGTTGTAATCATGGAATTAATAGAAGGATGAAACCAAAATGACTATTGTTTACCCTTATATATTATTATTTTAGACGAACCCAGGAAAACGTGTAAATAACGTCACAGTCCCCAAAGGCAACAAGAAAGTCAGTATGAAAATTGCAAATATCATTTAACCGTGAAATATCTTCTCACCTTTTCCTATTTTGTTGATAGATTAAATGTTCCTCCATATCTGACACATCGTCTATCAATGAAAAGAGCGAAGCTGACATAAAACAAAATGAAAATATGAACGAGAAAAATCGAGAAGACGGACACCGATCTCAAGATGAAAAAGGTACTATATCTATAATATATTGCCAAATAAATTGTTTTTGCTACAGTTTCGCTAAATTACTGACACAATCATTCGAATTAACTCAGATTCAGAGAATGGTTTGAGTGAAGCATCGGAATCGATGGTTGGGAGAATAGAAAGAACTCCATTGACAGTGGACGACATCGACCTGGAGGAAGTTTTTAAAGATTACTGTGATGAATGCGAAGACAATTTTGAGTGAGTAAGATCATCTCTTGTAACTCGAAATAGTAGTCTTACTTATCATCAATAATGGTTATTAGTTTATGTCATAGCGATATCATGGATATGAGGCCAACTTCACGCTTCACGGATAAAATTGCGGAAGAATATTGGGATAAATTCGTGCTAGGTACATATCCCAAGCATAATATACCTGAGGAATGGGTGAAATTCATACAAGAATTTTTCAAGGTATGTCACAAAAATCGGTTTTGGTTTGCTTATCTTCGTTACTCATTTTGTCTATTGATGCTAAAAAACAGCCGAGAGTTAGCCTAGAAGAATGGACAAAGGCTTGGCGTGGACTTCATGAAAAGATTAACGAAAACAAAAAAGACCTAGTGGATGTTATCTACAACATCCTTGGACCATAGTATGTCTCCTTTAATCCATTGTATGCAAATTTTATAACATAATGATTTGGGTTCTTTTTAGCATCAAAGCTTTTGAAGCACCATTCAACATCTTAAAGTCAGGTGATCTCCATGAAAATCAATACAATGCACAATTCATAAGTCCGATATTAGGAAATACAATGAATACTGTATGTGGAGAATGTAAGTCCCGATTATACACCTGGGAAAATATCCATTTGCTGTGATTAACTTTTGAAATTACACTGTTATAGTCTTGAAATTCCGGTAGAAAGTAGCAAAGCTCGTCGCAATACAGGTATAAATCCAATCGTTGATAAAGTTTTAGAAGCAAAGTGCGCAGATGGGCTTGCTCGTCTCTGGCTAAGTCGTGAAGAAGTATTCTTGTATGAACAGACAGGATCCTCTGATTTTGATGATATTACTCAGTTTCATATTCACGATTATAAATTGGTCAGAACAATGCGAGATGTATTGAATCAACGAATCATAATTCGCCTTAAAAATGGAATATGTGATCATAAAGACCTTGCAAGCTTCAGTGCTTTTGGAAATGGTACTGAAGTATCTTTGTTTTGGTTAACAATACATCGGAAGTCGTATTGTCTTCGTGAATACGGAACTTTCAAGATCCCTTCAACTTGGCAAGAGTTCCCTGTTCTTTCCGAGGCAATTATAACATGTCTCAAATTTTTTGTAGGTGCATCAAAGTTTTATTTACTTTGTTAATTGCTCCTTACTAATACTGATCTGTCCTCAGTCCTTCATGAAAGAAAATATTGAAGTGAGAAATTCATACGTTGAACAAAACCAAAAGTTGGTGGCCAAGCGAAGAGTACACTCAATAAAGCAGAACCAGACATCACCGATTCGACCTAATAAGTGGAAGCCAAAAAAATAAACACGAAACACATGCACGATTATATATGTGAAATCGAGCCACCAGCGCTTGTTTTACTGACATTGTAATTATTTTTTCATGTGTCTTTGACACTGGGCTCTGCCCATTAATAAAGAAATGAATTTCGAAATTTTAACAAAGTCGGGTACAACCCCTGACTATTTCTTGAGAATATTACCAACGCGACGTTTTTTCACCAATGGTTCCTCATTCACTGCGCCTGCCCTATCTTCCAACAAACCAACAATTACCTCCATTGCCCTTTTAACATTGCGCCGGAATTCATCTTCATTATCGAGGGCCGACTTTTTGAAGCTGATGAGGTAATCCTTCTCGCTCGTGGAATAAATTCCTTCAGTCGTGTACAAAATGAAGTGCCATTCCGTTGCTAAAAGTTGGGAGATAGATTAGCAAATTTTGCTGGAAGAAAAAAAAATCGTTATTAACCCTTACCTGTAGTTACAATCCCATACATGTAGTCGTATGAGTCGGAAAATGCCTCTCTTGCCTTACGTTTCCGCTTATTCGTTTGACACGCGCTCTCAATTCTGGCAAAAACCAATCGCCACTTGGTGTTGTTTACCTTCCGTGATACACACAATTTCCTCTCGCAGTGAATCTAGGAGTTTTTTGATGGCATAATCAACCCGACCTGTAGTTTCATCACCGACGACTTCGAATTGCGGTGCCAGGATAAGGCCTTCGAGGAGGCTAACTGACGCATGCAGATTTGGTGATATGAATTCACAACGCACCGCCTCATTGCTATCTGGTGCTAACCCTCCTAAATTTTTTAACCTGAGTCGTAATTCCTTTACGCATTGCATGAGCGCTTCATTGTTGTCCTCGAGTTTGTGTATAACCGGCTGAAATTGTGAAATGCTCGATATTGAATCACCGAGTTTATACTTTGCCAATACTCCCTTCACGTCTGCCTGAGTGCGGAAAGATGAATACGCCTTCAATTTTTTCTCCGAGACCTCTTTAGCGAAGTCCGCAAGCCTTATCGCAGGTCCTATTTCCAACCCACAATCCCTAAAGTCATCTTGAGGAAATCTCGGCCAGCGATCTCCCGCTTGCGTAAGATTTTGAAATGAGCATCGTTGAGTTGCAAGTCTTCTTCCCCACGTAAAAATTCGATAAGATTTTCTGTGTCCAGCTTTCTAACCACTTCGGCTAAAGTGGGAGCCTGCTTTTCTTCGGTTGCATTATTAGAAGCGGAAGCTGGAGTTGAAGTGGTCGACATTTTCGAGTTATATATGATTTTTTCGTGGGATGTTATTGGTAGATTGGGGAATGGTACATAAGAAAAAAAGCAAATTTCCAAATCATGGGTATATGTGAGATATACCGGGACAGATTTGTCTCGCAGTCGAGATTTTTATTTTTCTTGGTAAAAGTGATCGGCGTGACAATTGACACGCATAACTCGATTTTCAGACGAAATCTAACTCCCCTCTTCATTTATAGGTTCCACTTGAGGTGGCTGACTATCTTCAACATCGGGCATACTATGATCACTGTTATTCCGTGATGTAGTTATCTTAAGGTTTGAGGTCATATTTGCTAACTCAGATGAAGATGAGTATGTCGCATTATTTAAATTTCCGCCCGTATTATTTGTGTTATTGCTTGAATTTCCACTCGCATTATTTGTGTTATTCGCATTATCTCGATTGATAGTTTCGTCTCTTCTGCTGGGAGTTCTTCGGGTTGGAGACGCAGATCGATCTCTTTGATTGGTGATGGATTCACGGCGACTCATACTTAGAATTGATGACACTTCGTAAGTTGGTGGTGGGGTACGGTTACGGCGACGTCTTCTGATGGATGTATTTGTATTATGCAATATGTCGAATGGAGTTTCTATATTTCATATACGAGGCAAATTCATGAGTTATCTATATATTTACTACTACAGTGATAGATTGTATCATAGGTGAACTTACCAGGTCTCTCCCAAAAATGAGAATTAAATATCGTTCACCTGCTCTTTCCGGTTTTACTCCCAGCTATGTACTGGCACATCGACTAAAAAAGTTTCAGCGAAGTTGACACAGCCAATATAAAAGTACATTAGAAATGTCATAGTTAAAGTGGTATATAGAGTTTAACGCTTACGTTGTAATCTCTAACAAGATTCTGAAATCTATTATTACATTGTTGTCCTGTATAGGTGGTCCTAAATCGTTCGTTGATTGTATTTGCTATGCTATTCCAAAAGTCTACCCTGCTATGTTATGGTACTCGGTATTTTTGGTTTTCCTTTCATCGATTAGTAAGTGTAAGTGGTCATCGGTCCACATCACAAAAATTTAATTTCCACGGATGTTTAACTGAGATATGATATTTCCATACGTTTTATAAGAAAAAAAATCATCATACCTTCAATATACCTTCATCGTGCCTATATTACATCTTAATTATGAGTTAACAGATATATAAAATATATAGGCACACAGATGCCAGATACATCGGTATAAATGCATCGTTTATAAATGTTTATTGTCTGCGAAGCAAGGAATTCTGTATCTAATAAGCATAGATCGAACGGTTCGATTTTGTATAAGTTTCGCCGGTATTTAAATCATAATAATAACCTTCATCATCGTCATCAGAGAAACCACAGAAGCTCCCATCGTCTTCGTTATCATTGGTGAATTCATCGTCATCGGAGAAATTTTCTGGTTCATCGTCAGATAAAGTAGTAATTAAAGATTGTGGTTTGTTATCATTGGCATTTGTATCACTTACTTCACTTACCTCGGTTCCAGTAGATGCATTTACCGAAGCTTCTGGTAATTCCGAATCTTGATCATCTGAAGAATTGTCCTGTTCATCGGTATATTCTATATCAGGCTTTTTGGTAAAGTGATCTATAATCATTTGAATCTGAGAATTAGTAAATTTCGAAATAGCATTTGCACTATATGATTTAATATATTGGACCTTGTCTAAACCTATTTTTTCGAATAGGCTGTAAATTTTTCTAGTTCTTTCTGTTTGCTTCTGTAATGTATTACGTTTAGTATCAAACTGTGCAATAATAAAATTGTAGATTTGTCCTTTTGCTTTTTTCTCACCAACCTGCCCATTTTTCATAATGTCTTTAACTTGATTATCGAACTCAATAACGTAATGGTATCAGCATAAAATTTCATCTTGATTGGCCTTTATTGCTTGTTTTTCCGCATCACAAGCTTTCCGATATAAGGTGACCAAATTTAGTAAAGTTTTACTTCTTGATACAGAAAGTATAGTTATATCACTTACATGATTTTCGCTAACCTGATTCGAATTTTGGGTCAGCGAAATTTCAGTCATATGATCCGGAGATATGGAGTTATAATCTTGGATAGATGGAGATGCAGATATTTTCTGGATAAAGCTTTGTTCACGGGAGATAATAGGAACGGTATTCTGGGAAGTTATAATTTTCTCTTGATCTCGAAGTTTCTTCTCCTTAAATTTTGAATTGTCTCTTTACTAACCGTTTCTCTATGCTTTTTATCCAGGAATTCATTTTCTTTCTTATTCAATGATATTAATATGGTTTCTGCGGGAAATATGAGGATCACTGAATTCTGGTATACAGAATTAGATGTATTAGACTTCTCATGGGTATCGTTAGAATTTAAAGTGTTATCGGTTATATCAGATACCAAGGTATCATCACATTATTGCACTATTTGTTTTGGAGTATTATTAGAATTTACTGAAGATTGAAAAATATCTTCTGTAGAAATACTTTTTTCTTTTTCTCCCTGTTCTAATATAGAGAGCCTAGTCTCAAGCTCTATATTCTTTTGCTCTAATTCCTTGACTCTAGTATCGCGTTTTGTATTCTCTTCTATAACCTGCTTTAGCCTCACATTCTCAGCCTCGATCTCAGAGTACTTTTTTCTAAGTTCAGCAATCTGATGAACAAGATTAGAATTCAATTCTCTTAATGTCTTAATTATGGATTGAGTATCTCCCATTGTTTTATACAAGATGTAAATATGTTCAAAAGTTCGAGTCTAATAAAATTACGTGATTTTGGAAAAGCAAGAATTATACAAATAGCTTATCGAAATTATAAGAATAGATCTGAATCATTAGTAATCCAAGCTTGAAATACAATGAGAGATAATGATACTTTTAATGATAAGAAATTTCTAGATTTAACGAGATGTAATGTGAAAAATCCTCAAACTCAAGAACAATTTAATCAATGGTGTACTAAATGAATGGAATCTTATAAACAATGTAATTTGAGAATTCCTTTGGATATTTATGTTAGAGAATATGAAGAATATTATATTCCAGTTAATTGGATAAATTCTAAAAAGAGTCAATTACAGATTAAATTCCAAAAGTGACTTTTAGAAAAAATAAATCACCTAAAGTATTCCTGAGGACTAGTAATTTAGACTTTATTTCATTATTCCCAAGGACTGATAACATTTTTTACTTTGATTTTTATATATCAACCCATTTCCATCTGACACAAAAATTTCTAGTGTTGATAATAGGTAGATTGCACTTGTTATTATTACACATTCACCTCAATTTCATATCGACTGGAGACGATCAACTTCTTAATAGAAGTGATGAGTAGGATGTATTTATATTAATGCGTTAATAAATAATGAAAAAAATAAACAATTATTGCAATTATCAAACCTTGATTTATTCATCCAATGTCAAAATTTTATCCCAGCTGACACGTTGTCACGAGTCCCTTGGGCTCAGGTAGGTATTCTCGTGACGTAGGTGTTCAACCAATGTCTATTTCGATAATTCAGTAATTCGATCTAGTTGCTTTAGGATTATGGTGCAATACAGCTTCTTCTATTCTATTAATCTAGAATAGAAAACACTACTACTAATAAATATCTTCCTTTGTATTTACTTAGTGTGGTGACGGTTCTATAGCAATACAGTACTGATATTCTATAGCAACCTGGTTGAGTGT